CTCGCTGAACACGAAACCGTGACGCCTCTTACCAGAATTTTCCGATGGAAACTGATTCTCCTCCTGTCCTGCGGGTAGGCGAAAGAATAACGTGGGAACCCAGTAGAAAAGGTGGTATTTCAGCCAAACGAAAATTAAATGAAAAATAAATAATAACTAAATGATAACGTGGGAAACCAGGAGAAAAAGGTGGGTAGTGGACGATTCCTAGTTCTGCAATCTGGCGGGGAGTTGTATTTTTTTCCCGCTCAACACCCTGCCACATCAAATTCCTAAAATCACTCTATGGACAGGAAAATTTGAATGGGGGTGGCGGTTTTACTTTTCAGCTATAAATTATACTGTTGAGTCATGAAGTAACAATAGATCCAAGACCCCGTGGAATACGAACCTAACCGTTTTATGATGTCCCTAGCTTTATTATATTTGACAATGTTAGGATAGAAGTTGTTTAACTCGAGTATTGAGGTTTAACTCGAATCCATCCTGTAATTATCACACTAATTTCCTAATTATGCTAACTTCTTTTGTCAAAACCAATTCAATACAAAATTTTCACAGCGGCAGCGTAAATTACCCGTTATCGGATCAGGTTTATTATTCATTGCGATCCTATTGATCCCCTCCTCCCTCGTATTCTCCATTCAGTACGAGCGGGGAAGCTTGAGGTGGAGCAACAAGATCAAGAGCAACCAACGCAAAATGGCCTCGGAGCCCCCGCCTTTCCAAGAAGCCGATCATTGCGACGTTTGCCACTGCGGCTTCAACACTTTCCGCCGCCGGGTAAATTCTCATCCTCTTCGATTGTTCTTTCCCGTCTACTCAATACGAGATCATTTTATCAACAATGAAACTGAGCTGAATCAACCGAATGAGTGGCATCAATGGCAGAGCATATAATCAGCTGCCCTTGAATGGGCGATTTCTGTAGATCAGGATTAGTGAGTATTTTTTTCGTTTTCTTTAATAGGATTAGTGAATTGCTACCGGTCAATCGCTTGGATAATCTGAAGTGCCATTCGGTTTGATACCCAAAATGTTACTTCGATCATTCTGTTGTTGTGGGAAGATATCTTGAACCTGCAACATCTGTTTGGTTATGCACAACTCTTGCTGAAGTTACCCTCGGTTTGTTCATGTTGCAGCACCATTGCCGCTGTTGTGGGAGAACTTTGTGTCACGATCACTCCTCAAATCAAACGGTTTAGCTTTTATTTTAGTTACTTTGCAGCTTGGTCGGTGAGGGTTTTCGCCCCGTTTTCTTTGTACTGAGTAGTACTAATTGGTTACCTTTCTTCTTGCATGAGCATTCATCCAGACTTTACCGCAATTTGGAATCTACACCAATGTCAGAGTTTGTGCTGATTGTTTTGACAATGCTACACGGTGAGTCAGTTCTCATTGGAGCTTCTTCTTGGTCTTGTACAAACTTCAAATTTATAGCAACAAAGGTCGAGGCAATTATGTCTGAACTAGTTTAGATAAATTTTTATGGGACCCAGCTCAAGAGATATGAAACGGGGAATACTATTGTTTACTTTCGAGTTTGATTAAAGTTAGACGGGTAATCTCTTGGAGTGGGCAATGTGTGATTATCCTATTTGGATCAATGCAGTAGTTTCTGCATCATTTTAGTTTGTATAAAAACGTGCAGTAGTTTCCGGGAAGGTTTATAACAACAGAATCCCAATATTGTAGTTTAAAACTGAATCAGATGGGCACTAATTTAATGTCATTATTGCAGTTATACACTTGTTTCTTCATTCTTACATGTTGGCATTGGTAGTTTTGTCTTCCTACCTAGAAATCACTAAGATGACTAAGTTTTATCATGTATTCACCATGACAATCACTATGATGATTAAGTTTTTCTCCTTTTTGTTTAAAGGAAATCTAAAGATGAATGCAATGAAGTTTTAAACTTAAAACCTACAAAGGTTCTCTTTCCTTTTCCTTGTCCATGAAAAAACATGAAATGTTGCCTTTCTCATCCTCTTACCAATCGAGAGTAGAGTCCATTCCCTGTAGAGGAAACTAACAAATAGGGGTGTTTTCTTATTGAAGGTGGAGTGGAAGGCTAATCTTTTCTCCCTGGATTCTGGGCCATAGTTAACAGAACTTAGAAATCAGGGGTTAATTATATTTTCCCTTATATTTAACTGACAACTGCATAACTTCTTTTACTTTGTTCAACTCTAGAGGGTGACTTTTTTGGAGAAGCTGAAGGAGGGTGATTTCTCTGGGAGTCAGTGGGTGAAAATAGGGACCATGGAAAGAAATCGACACTGGAAGAAGGCTAACTATTGTTTTAGTTACATGGGTTTAACTTCACATGTTTTGGTCAACACTATACTTGGACTTAGACAGGATGAATTTGGAACATATTTTTAAGTCTGTAGTAACCTTTTTCAATGACGGAAAGTTCTCGTTGACCAGCTAATATCAAACTCTTGTGTCTCACTTCTCTTCCAGCTCTCATCCAATGCTCAAACCTCATTACCCTAGGCAATTGAGTCTTCAGAGGCTCTCAAGTATAGTTGAGACTGAACTATTAAGCTTAACGTCCAATTGTCATGTGTCGGCAGCTAGTGCTTGATTGAAAACCTTGCATTGCCTGAAATCCTGAGTTCTGAATATTGAAGACGGTTGTGGGAAGAGGTGATCTGTTCGTCCGTGGTATTCTATAGTCTGATCATTCAAGACTAGCAGAACGCAGTTATAAGTTCATTCTCACAAAGGTGTTGTCTTTTCCTTAGGTTAAGAGCTCTTTGTTTGAGGGTGGTAAAGTCAAAAGAAATTACTGATAGTCTGGGGTTCTGGTAGAATCAAGTGGATTCTTAGAGGATATAAAGTCGTCAAGAAGCCTGGATTTCCTGCATTACATATGTTGGTTTCTTTTTGATCCTTGTGGAGCCAATTCTCCATATCTTCTTTCCAAAGACCAGATCTTGTCCAATTGGAGTGCTTGACTGAAAACTGCTGTACTCAGTGCAAGATACCTCCCATATCAATTCATGTTAACCACCTTGTGGTTGTGGAGATAAGGGATTCAATCCTTGAAAAATAAGTTGTTGGGAATGCTTGAGTCCATCCATTTTTATTACCTTGTTGCATGCTGCCTGACGTTAAATCCACATTTTGTGCTGTCATTATGCCAATGTGTCATCCGTTTATTGGTTATGTTAGGCCATACTTTATTTAGCTGACAAGTTCCCACATACAGCATTGGTATATTAACATATTCATTCATTTCATTTGGCTCAGATCAGGGGCAGGCAATCATCAGGCTACTTCTGATTCTGTGAATTCCATAACAGATCAAGTTTCCAGATTAGGCGTTGGGGCAGAGGTCGAACCAATAAAGAATCCAAGTGCACAATATCAGTCTCATGCAACTGTTATAGATTGCAAATGTGGAATGCCTTTATGCATATGTGAAGCTCCAACTGCAACTACTGAAACAGTTCCACCTCAGGTATGAAGTATATTGGTTTAAGAAACCAACTGCCTGTGGCAGATTTCTTCGCTTTGCCCCCTAAATGACTAAATCTATTATGTTGTAGGCAAAAGCAACGTCAACATCTGCTTCATATTCAAATCCAAAGCCCCGGAAGATAGATGCCATTCCTAAAAATAGAGCATCCAGTTCCAGTAACAAGCCTAGGTTTGTCTTCTTAGCATTTCAAACCTATTTTCTGCCATCACATGAGGAATTTGAGATGGATGTTATGTTATATCTTTAGCCTAATATTTGTAAAGAAACAAAGACTTCCATACTCGGGTTATTTATGTTTGGTATTTGTTATTTGTTATACATCCTGTGCACTCTTCATTCAAGTGCTGCTGTAAAAGCTGGTGACTTGGAACTCTATATGTGGTTCTGCTTCTAAATTCTCTCAAATATTAACCAAGTTGTCTTTTATGCAGTTCGGTTTTCAACCATGGTCAGATGAACAATGGCCTTGCAGATAAACCTCAGTTGAACTATGAAGCTAGTGGGGAGGTATCTCCTATGTTAAACTGTTGCAGGCATCAATTCATCAAATTGAATTTCTACATCTGTTTTTTATTTATTTTATGAATGAATTTCAACGCCCTTTTTTCGCTTTAAATTGTGTTGCATGTTTATAGGGTTTAAGGGAAGCCATAAAGAATGATGATTCTGCTGCTGTAAGGAAGCTTATCAGCCAGGTACTAATCATCTCTTTCATTAATAATCCTGTATACAATTCCGAAAGCTTGAGTTTAGTGACGCAGCATAAAATTGTCATATTGGCAGGGGTGTAGATGCGAATTATCAGGACCGGCAAGGAATGTCTCTGCTACATCTGGTAAGCTCCCCACCACCCACACACACACCCTTCCTTCAGTAGGGGTATATATATCCTTGCTACTTGTTAATGTCAGTACTATTTTTGAACAAATAGTGAATTAGCTTGATGATTGTTGTTTGTACTCTGTAGGCTGCTGTATTCAACCGAACTGACATTGTTTTTATCCTAATGGAATCTGGTGCAAGCCTGGACTGCAGAAATGCACAAGGTAAATTTGCATATATTCCACATTTGTATCACCTAGTTCTTTAGTCAAGTTGTTAGGATTGCTTGAGTGGCAATTGAACTAGAAAGCCACACAAGGATGGAAGAGGAACACATTCATGAACCACAGACGTTGGACATGTCAATTGACAGTGCATGCTTGTTGGTTGTTGTCAAAAGTCTGCTTTTACAGATTACTTCCAGGTTGTCAAAGATAGAGTTCGTGGGGGTGTCCCAGATTCTCTTAGTTGGATGCTATTATTGAAGCTTGAACATGTCTAGGTCCTAGGAAGGCACATCACGCTTTTCCAGGCTTGCAATGTCTTATATTTACTAATAATAAGCCGAGGGCTTGTTTCCATGAAAAGACGATATTGAGGAAGACATGTGTTGCAAGGTGTAGGGTGTGGAGGTCAGGTTTTATTTTCTTTCTTTTGGCTTGGCTTGCCTCATCCTGACCCACACTGGTGGTTTTGATAGGGGAAACTCCACTTGACTGTGCTCCCGCAACGCTGCAATACAAGATGAGAAAGAAAATAGAAGAAAGTGGGGAGAAGGACCCGCAGATCAGCGTTTGAGATCCCTCCATCCATCCATCCATCCTTCCTTCCTTCTTTATATCTTTGACCTACTTTGTGCAAATTGTATGTTTCTCCGAAAGCCACTTTGGATGATTGAGTGCAGCATGACGCGGGGAGGATGTTGGATGTGTGTATGAATGGTCGTACATTCGAGTCTTACCTTCCCCCGAACAACACAAGCTGCTACTGTGCTATATGTTTTAAGCATATCCATGTTTGAATTACAGGGCAGAACCTTTCAAGAACAAGGATTGGTGTTATTATACGTTCGTATTGTATGATATGACAGACCTTAATGTTAAGCAGTTGTGACTTGTGTCATGTGCTGTTGGTTAAGGGTGTTTGGAATTTGGATGGGATGTGAGTCGGATGGGTGGGATTCAGATGTGGAATTGGGGTCTATCTGTCGGGTTCCCTTTCGGTGTCGTTCTGCTTTCTTCTTTCACAGTTTACTTTAATCTACGAGTAAATTAGTTATCTTCCAAAAGAATGACGACATGGATCATTCATTTCTTTCTTTCTTTCTTTCTTTGGCTTTCCATGCTATGCTGACCAATTCACAGGTGGAAAGTAAAGAATGAATATCTTAACAGCATATTCTCCGACTTGCATGCAATTGCAATACAGCAATTTCGATTTGCATCATCCCAACGAAACTGTCACCACTATTTCATTTCCTTTTGTTGTTTCTTCTATGAATCTGCATTTTCATGAGTATGCGTGCGTTTTGCACCAACAAGTTGATCTCTGTATCTGACGCCAGCTGCTGTGGCCGGGGACCAAGCTTTTCGCTGGGGGCTTTCTATCTTTGGAGGAAAAAGGAGGGAGGGGATAGGAAAGAAGACGCGGAGAACACAGCAAGGAAGTAATGCTCTTGCTTTTGCTACTACGTCAATTTTGTTTTTATTTATATCAATCCCCGTCTCATGAAAGAATCTTCAGTTTACAACTCCTCTCTTGAATGCTTTTTTTTTTTGTTATCTATACAAGAATTGGAACATTCATTCATTTCCAAAATCAGTTACAAGCATAATCCCATCATACACGAATAGTGAGTCAATCGCGAGGGAGAGATAAGAGAAGAGCGAGCTTGAGAACGAGTCATACAATCCGCTCGAAAGTCCATACTTTGAGGGATGCCCCTACCAACGTCGTCGAATCTATGACTCTACGTATTGTTATCATCATTGAAAAACAACGTAATGACCAACATTCCAAATCACACAAAACTGCCATGACATGTACTCCACAGTCCGCGACCAAATCACACATGACAAATTGCATTCTTAAACTTTTTTTTGAATGATTCTTAAAACTAATTTCAATCCTTTAAGAGAGTTTCATAATTGTTGACGATCACGATGCCATAAGCTCTAGCTCCCTCTCCTGAGTTCCAGCAACTTCTCCTCAACGATGACGTCAACAACAATCATAATAATGCTCTACATTTTCTTGTTGATGGAATTCGAATATGAATGAAGATCATGGTTGTCAAACCGGTTTCATGCCGGCCGGTTCAACCGGGTTCAACCGGTACCGGTAGGAATGGCAATGGGGCAGGTCCGGGGCGGGTTTCTTGGTACCCAAACCCGCCCCATGGCAGGTCGGGTCCAGGTCGGGTAATTTATCACGGGTCACGGGTCGGGGCAGGTCGACCCAATGGGTAAGCAATTTATATGAAAAATATAGAAATGTTCGTTATTTTTATTATAAGACCATGGAAATAAACAATATTATGATAAATATAGTTAAATTATTGGAGAAATTGAGGTTTTCACTAATTTACAACTTTATTACAGCTAAATTTTGATTTAGTAAAAGGAAAATCCTAAGTAATTTGACTAAAATTAAGTGTAATTTAGGCAAGAACGGGTCGAGAATGGGGCGGGTCAGGGCAGGTCGGGTCTATGAGAGTACCCATGTCGCCCCGCCCCACCTACAGGGCGAATCGGACCCGCCCCAAAACAGGTCAAACAGGTCGGGTAAAACGGGTCATGTCGAAATTGCCATCCCTAGGTACCGGTCAGCAAGCCGGCTGGAAAGGGGCCGGTATTTAAGTGTGGTCAAATCCGGTCAATGCCGGTCAGTTCCGGTCAAATCCGGAAATTCCGGCCGGTTAGACCAGAAACCGAAATTTAATGTTACACACATTATATAAAAAATAAACATCCTCCATGAGATTTGAACCAAGTACCACATGTTCATTTTAGTTTAACTTACACACAGGCTATAAGCAATTTTGTTGTCTATATTAACCTTATATGTTATATGTCTAACACTAAAGTTTACACAAATCATTATAAACATTAATAAAATTCATTTAATAAAATTTTATTTTTAAGCATCTAATTGTTTAGTATTAGTTACCAATTCTTAGCTATAAATTATTTTGTGTGAAATAATTCTTCTAATTGCTTTTTCATGACTAATTTATTTGGAATTGAGGATTTCCATTTTTCTCATGTATTTTATTAAAACCGGCACAACCGGCATGAATACTGGTTGTACCACGGTCAGACCATTCCACTTACAAAACCGACACACCGGCATAAACCGGTTTGACAACCTTGATGAAGATACTCCAAATCCCAACTCATCCCCACTTGTCCTCACTCCTCCCTGCTGCTTTAGTTCATAAAACAACATAAAGCAACACTCTGCTCATTTGAAAAAAGAAAAAGAGGAGAAAGCAAATGTGAAAGAAAATGGCTCCCACCGCCATCGTCATCCCCCACTACCACCATCTCCTCCTCTTTATAACCATCCCCGCCTCCTTCACTGAATTCCCCCCCTTCCTCTCCCCTTCCTCTTCCCCTCCAATCTCTTCCTAGGGTTTTCACCACTGTTGCTTCCTCCATCTCTTCAATTGACGCTACAAATGGGCTTCTTCGCCGAAGATTCAGGCCTAATCGTCACCCATCTCCTCTACAAGGCAGCCCTCGTCCTCGCCCTCCTCAGATGCGCTCTCTCCTGGGCTCTCAAACTCTGGCCCACAGCCGCCTCGCCGCCTTCCCGCCGCCGCCCTTCTCCTCAACAGATCAGAGACCGCCTCATCCGCACCACCTTCGCCGACGTCCTGGAGAGGAGGGACCAGGACGAAACGGCGGCGTCTTGTGCCGTCTGCTTGAACCAGATGAGTCCGGAGGACGAGGTGGGAGCTCCGCAACTGCTGCCACGTCTTCCACAGCGACTGCATTCACAGGTGGATCGATCACGAAGTGGATGATGATCAGGAGGAGGAAGGCGACGAGAGTAATCACCGGACTTGCCCGCTCTGTAGGACGCCGCTGCTGACGGCGGCCCAGAGCGCGGCGTGGAGCGCGGCGGCGGAGCAGCAGCAGCAGCCCAGCTGGGCGGTGGAGAGAATACTTTACCTTTTCGGGGATGACCTGCTTGTCTCTTGATTATTAATTAATTAATTGATAATTTTTTTTGTTGTTGTCATTTTGGCGTGGGAATGAAGTTGTTGTTGCGACTTGCGAGTTGGCCCAAAAGATCATCACTTGATTGATTGTTAGTGGGGGAAGCAATTTTTGTACATTGTGGATCTTATACACAAATTTAGGAATATGTATATATATGTTTATGTCCACCTTTTGAGTAGATCAAAATTTCATGAATGATCGTCATTTTCTAATCCGTTGGATTGGAGTGTTGTAGTCAATTCCTGTGAAATTAAGGATGAAAATGGGATGCAAACTCCTTGGCAAACACTAATCCGTCCCTCTCAAACGATTGATCTCTCTACTTTTCCTTCAGTTATTAGTCATTTGCAATCAAACCTCCGACTCTATTGCGTATCTCTTGCATTGACATCTCCTCTTCTTCGAAAATTTTCTAGTATTATTCTCTAACATTGTCCAATATATCGTGTGTAAATGTACCTTTGAACACTATTCCAATGGACCATCAAGTTGATTTTGTGGTCATTCATTGATCAAGTTGATACCAAGGGCAGAACCAAGATTTGATGGTCGGAGGACCGGAGTTAACTAGTATATAATTGAATAAAGAAGAAAAAATAGTAAGTATAGTAATGAAAAGAAATTTATATGTATAATTTATTTAATAATATTGTTATGGTACAATATGCTATTTGAGATTAAAAAATTACTTAAACGAGAATATTAAATATATTTTATAGATTTCATTTTTGAAGCAAATGAGTAAACTAAGAACAAAATTAGGCATACATTTTAATGAGTACGATGTTTCTTGGTAATTCCATAACTGAAAATGAATGTCGTTAATATATTGTTTGAAAAAATAAGCGATTAAACAAATTAACAAAAATTTAATTAAAATACGAATTTAAAATTGAAGAATTTTATTTACCTACTTTGAAAGGACAAGACTTATTAAAAAGTTGAAATTAAATTATTAAATTTGTTTTTTTTTCTTTTTATAATGTTAAGAATACGAAAAAATTTGGCCAAAAAACAAATTTAGGTACAAAAATTAAGCAATCAATCATACAACCAAAAAATCCTTGAAAATACAAATTTAGGTAAAAAACATGGTAAAATTAAACTAACTAGGTAAAAAAATTTGTAGAAAGGGCATGTAAACTAAAAAGTAGAAAATAAAGAGTTATGGGGAAGAACTAACAAGGTAAAAAGGTAACAGATGTACTTCTCTGGAAATCGAACCCTTATCCAGACTAATTAGTGATTAGTTTAGTGTAAATTTCTTATGTACTGCCACCAAATTTAATGTACCTTTGTAATACTCAGTTTCTACGTAATTTTTTAAACACATATATTTTTTATATGTGATTTGAAAATTCTCGAGAGCCCCCGAGAGGCTGTTCGGCGTTAGGCTAATCTACATCTACATCTACACTACTTATAATACATTTAAAGAGTTTGATTTGCTCCATTTCAAATTTCCTGCGACGAGAGTGAAAGTAGGAAGGGTATTTTCGTCTACACAATCAATTATTTATCATATAAAAATATATCAATGCTAGGATTTGAACAATCGTCTCTTCCATCAAAGACAAGAATTGACCAATTAGACTAGACACATTTGTTGTAATTTATAATACAAAACATAGAGAAAGTTAAAATTATGAAAAATATAGTACTTTCTATCACGGTTAGTTAGCCCGCTAAGTCTCCTGTAAGTATTTTGTGGTGTTTGATAATTCTATTTTCATATTTTAATAATAATTTAGAAATTTTTCTAACTTATAAATGAAGGATAATCTTAAAATCTCAACACAAATATCATTGGTTGGAATATTGCGCATTGAATTGAAGTGTTCAATGACGACATAAGAACACTGGTACCATATATTTCAAGAAAAATAAACATGACAAACACCGATACCAATTATCTCGACAGTCTATGCTAAAATTCGAATTTGTTTAATCATTCAATTTGAGTGCTAGTTTAGTCAAATCAAGCAAATAATTCACGATTATGTATGAACAAAAATAAAAACATATGTATTGTATTATGAAAAATGTATTTATTTTAACAATCTAAAAAAACAATCAAGACTTCCATACACAATCCCTTATTTCAGCATTGTAAACAATGAAACAATTTTTTTCCTTTTTCCAATATATTTTGAGTTATTTGTTAAATCAACTATGTTTCTAGCTTTCCATTCCTAATTATTCACTGCTTCCTACAAACTTATGGGAATGATGAATATTTTTTTCATGTATAATCTATTGACTATAAATGCTGCTTATTACTTAAATTCAACGGTATCCATGTTAGATTTGATGTCTCCAACATATTCTCACAATTTCTCGAAAAAGCATCATATCTTGCGATTGATATCATAGTTTTGTTAGGTAAAGCTCAACAAACTCAATCAATATTCAAACTCTTTGAAGAAGCTATCTACTGTGAATATGAAGTACTGAGTAGCTAAAACTCTACTTGAGTTAGTACGATCTTTTGCGCTATCAATTAAAATTCAATACATGATTATCTTATTACAATTTAGTCATACTAATTGTGCAGTAGGGGACATCTTATCAAAATCGTACCGAAAGACTCCTTGATTGATCAGTTTCAGGATGTAATAAATTATACCAAACAGAAGTGAACAAATTTATAAGATGCTCTCAAAGTTTGCTATAATTATTGAGGTTCAACAACACATTAATCGTAAAGTGGTCATTGGGCATTTGTCTATCTCCTAGCTCGCCTAGACACACTTAGATGTTGTAATAAAAATAGTAATAATGATGAATGAAGTAACAGTTCTATAGCACTTTCATACTTCAGTTCAAATGATTTAACAACAAGCAAAATAACTCTCAAGTTTATAATTTTTTATACCAAATGGTATAATTAATTCATTTATGAGCTGAAACATCTAATTATAAGCACTTAAATTTTTAAGTTAAAACTCATATGATACAATTGTTTGACGAAATGGTTTTTATCATAGAGTGGTTCTATCGAGAGAGGTCTCTAAGAAACATGGCTTACTTTATTATTCCTTAGGTAGATATAATATATATCCTCATCGTTACTTTTACCTTGGATTCAATTTAGTATACTTTTTCGTTTAGATAGAAACATGGCTTACTTTTACAAAGGACGTTGTTCGTCATTTTTAAAACTTCGTTAGTCAAATACATCAAATACTTTCCTATATTATTAATGAAGAACTTATCAACTAAATAGTTACTTCAAACCCCAACAACATGAACCATAACAAAATATATACTTACACTTATACATGACAACATAAGAATCAAACTCCCCCGTAATCTATTATTAAGAGAGCGCCAGTATGGGGAACATGTCCGCGCACTACCATTCCTCGTCTTCAGCCGGCTTCCCCTAACCCGGACTCTCCCGTCTCCGATCATTACCGCGATTCAGCTCTTGTGCCCGAAGGGGACCTGTCCGATGACCCGGCCCACGACAACTCTTCAAATCAACACGGAGAGAGAAAGAAAGGTACAAAACAAAAGAAACAAAATCAATATCATGTCCTGTTTTGTATTGTTTTACGCCGAACAGAAAAAAAAACCCGCCATTGATAATAAAAAAAATATGTTTTAGTTCTGTTGGTCTTATTTTAGTAACTAGCGTGGCCCCGGTCAGTTGTGCGGAGGAAGGTGAGGTATGAAATTTAATAATGTAATGGGGTGTATAGCTTATTGTTGTATAGTTTTTTTTTTGAAACACGTGATAAAAATAGTGAATTTTAGCAGGAAAGAGACATGAATGATGCAACGAATCAAAAATCGTCCTTATGAACCAAAATCAAGTACCTGTTATCTTGATTTTATAGAAACCGAATTCCAGAAAATCGAATAAAAAATCGCCTATCCCGTCGGTTTTCGGGAAATGAGCATATCACAATCGTTGCTAGCTTTTACTCGGCCCGTTGGCCGATTAATTTGCTTTATAAAACTTTCATCTTGTCGTCATTGTGCTTTCTGGTTTTTGTCATGTCATGATAAAATCTAAGGAAATCAAGAACGAACAACACTATTTGGGATAGGAACCGCCGTTCTCGTATCCCTAGAAAATGGTGGTAAACACGGACTCACCTGCCAAACTGGTTTGGATTGAGATTTTTATCGAGTATCAGGGGAACCATGTGATTATAAATTAGACTTGATCAAAACGGGCCAAAACTTGAGCCGAAAGTGACCGGATCGAAGGACTTGAGCCGCTAAGCTTGAGCTTCTTGTGGGCTGATCACACATTCCGGCAGCGGGACCTGGTATCGAACACGTCGTAGCAATAGCATTATGTCATGTGAATCTCATTCAATAAAGATTGTGGAAGTTCACAGCCAGACCCAGATTGAACAACAAGAAACCGTAGTGTCAAACAACAACCTCATGAAATGAATCGGAAAGCAATAAGATCGTAAGTGAATCACTGTACCTCTCTGCCGAGCCTACGATTTCTGGCATCCTCGAGGACAAGATCTCTTTCATCTCCCAAAGAGTGGCGCAAATTTCCTCGCAGACCCCGCACTTTGTTGCTGCTTAATGCCTCTACTTCCACCGCCGGCGTGCAGGAAAGCGGGTATAATTGGTTCGGTGGAGGTCAGCCAATAAAATAACTTCAACAAAGGGGCTTGGTTGATCGCTCAACAAATCTCAAAGACAACTCTTCCAATCTGGAAAAGAGCAGTTCCATTGTCTCAGCAAAACTTCTTCCAAACACATATCCATAGCAATCAAGAAATCGGAGAAATTCACACGAAAACTATCGAGGACGGGAAACACGAGAAGGACATATTAAAATGACGAATCTTAACTATGGTATATCGATGGAAACAGGTCAAGCGTAGTCAAACCAAGCAGAATCATAGATATGAATCAACAAGGAAATAGACAATTTTAACGCATGAAACCTACACCTAAAAAGCAAAATCAGCACGAGACGAATCGCGAGAATGAAACAACCACGAGCTAAGAGCAACAAGTAGCCAAACAAGGATCTGAAATCCATAAATGAAGAACAAACACTACCAGATCTGAGCAAATGTTACCTGCATATTGCACTTGACGAGGTCAAGAAGAGTGACGGCCATGTCAGTGAGACCGCAACTGAGGATATCGCCGACGGTACAGGAGGCATATAAAGCCGGAGAGTACATCTCGATCTTCCCAGGATAGCTATGCTTCTTTCTCTTTCCTCCTCGTAATCCTCTTCATCATCATTTTCTTCTACAAATACCACATTCCATATTTGGGGTCAATTCCATAACTAACAGCATCAGAAGGCCCAAATCATACAATCCCTTCAATCTTCCTAACTTATAATGGCGTTTGATTCACAGAAGGGGTAAATCGAATCCAAAAGCAAACCAAATTGAACACAGTTCCAAACGGGACAAAAATTAGAGAAAAAGCGAATCACTAACTCGTTTGCAGCCATCGCCAGCATCGTCGAACCTTAGACCGAGCTAGGGATTTGAAACCCCAGGTGCTTCTCCGCCAATTGGATATACTCGGAAACTGGCTGATCCATTGCGTCACTCTATCTCACATGTCCTCTTCCCTAGCTGCCAAATTTGAAGCAAGAGCTCGGATGATAATAAAAAAACCTGGAGAAATGGAACGGAGAGATTCAAACACGAGAGTCAATATGAGTCCAAGAAGAAAACTAGAAGAAGGGGAGATATAGGTTTACCGTGGCAGACCCAAGAGTGGAGGTCGTCGATGATGGCGAGGTCGAAGCGACCCTCGAACCACGTTCCCTTGACGAAGACTGGTTCGCTCGCAGGGGTGTAAATCTCGAGCTTCACGCATGTGTGCCTCGTCCCCGCCACCGCAGTATCCATTCTTCTCTGTCGTCACCATCTTCTTCTCCGTCGTCACCATCTTCTTCTTCGCCGTCGATGGAGATTAGCAGAGCAGTCAAGAGGGTTTTGAGAGACCAGAGAAGAGATGCGTTGAGGTAAGGGATCATATTTTCATTTCCCTCTTTGAGAAAAGGGACGGTCGAAAATGTGGAGGGAATTTTTTAGTTCTCAAATTTTGATTGGGCAAAAAATTGGAGGGATTTTTCCCTCTTAAAATTTTAGTTGGATAATTAATTTTTCCTGACATTAACAAAGGAAAGATTCTTCATATTTTTTTTTTTGTTATTCTTTCTTCATAATTAAATATGGTAAGTTTTTTCCTCTTGATTCTTGATATTATTTTTAGCATGAAAATAGGTTTCATGCCTACATGTTGTGACTAGAAAACTCTTTCTTGTAGTGTGTATATCACATTATAGTTCTTCTACCTCGTTTCATGAACTCAATCCACATGATCTTGCTCGTTCTAATTTCATTCCATGAATCACTGTTGAATGGGGATAATAGTAAAGTCAAATGACACCGAGTCACTTTACAATATAAACTATGTAACCAAAGCAATCCACAAGACATTACTAAGTTAGTTGGCGAGCTATATATGAAGTCACTCATGAACTACTACCCTAGTTGGCTCCAAATTTACACCTTCGAGTCGTCGTATGATGCAAACTCAAATGTCAATCTTTCTTAACAACATTAAATGGGTTTGGCCAACCTTTCAACTTTAGTTCCAATTGTTCTTTAACTATGCTTGTTAAACATTAAAAGAAAGGTTATATAACAATTATTGTGATAAGATCGGGAGATTGAAAAATCTTGTTTTAAACATTAAAAACATTCGAATTAAAAGGATCGGGAGCCTGAAAATCCTGTTTTAAAAATATCACCACAATATGTATTGTAAGGAAAACATAGTATTTTAAGTCATACAATTAGTTCGTCGATAATTTGTGTGGACAATTGGATGTAATGTCGAGTATCAAAGCCACGTTCAATGATATCGCCACTCATTTAAGTTTTAGTTTTATGTGGGGTAGAAAAGGTTCTCAATGGTATTCTCGTTTTTGTTTTAGCTCTAAAACTCAAGATTCTTAATTCGAAACAACAAATCGGCAAAGAAGGCTACATGGGTTGTGATTTGTTGTGTGACAAGTGAGTATAATGAAGAGAATATGATCCTTAACATATTTTGGTCTCAAAGATTATTAAAAGTGAGTCGTGAAGCCCATTACAAGTACCTGAAACCCAACTCACTATCTTCTTCCTTGCCAGTCGCCACTATGGTATGCTTCTTCTTACCCACACAGTAAAACCCAAAACCTAGCACGACCCAAAATACATAGCCAAGGACCACCTTTCAAGACAGGGTAAAGCAAGGATTCCATGTTCGGAGGGGCCATAAAATGTCAAAGAAAATAATAAAATATTAAATATTATTTGCTATATGTAAAGTACACGATGCTATTTGGAATCAATCAAGTCACTAAAAATAGCGTTTAACCAAAACGTATTCACTAATATCTCATTCATTATAAATAACAAGACTACCAACGATAGAGCCATCACTCTTTTTTTTTTAGGTTAGTCACTCACTTTATGGCAAAAAAAACTCATTCACTACCAGCCGTAACGACTATAAGAGTCTGAACCAGATGAATCATATAATCAACGAATCAAAGTCAGTTGACTTCCCAGAGCATTCCAAACCACGATACAGTGGAAGAATGCTCGGAAGTTGGGAGTCATCGCCGTTGGTTCTTCTTTCTGTGACGACATGTACCGGACAGGGTCATCAAGCCAACAGAGGTCTGAGATGGTTCATGGTGTGTGACGACGACACATTGGTGCTTGTGAATAACTTGGTCGAGGTTCTAAACAAGTTTGATCACACCGAGTACCATTACATTGGAGGCAACTCGGAGTGTGTAAAGTCCAATGCCGACTTCTCATTCGACATGGCATTTGGTGGGGCTGTCTATGCTTTGAGCTAGCCCTTAGTCGAGGCATTGTCGAGTAAGCTCGAAGATTGCATTGAGAGGTACCCAACCTTTTTGTTAGTGACCATATGGTTCAGTCCTGTTTGGCTGACCTTGAAGTTGCTGTAGCTCAACAGAAGGGAATTCACCAGGTGAAGTAGTACTTTACCGTTTCATGTTCCAACACATTACAACCCCCCTAGTATCTAACAAAAAACTTCAAATGTTGCAGATTGATCTCCATGGTGACATCTCAGGCTTTCTATCAACTCACCCACAAGCCCCTTTAGTGACCCTCCAAACAAGAACCCTTTATCGTCATGCAAAGCAAAAAGACCTCAAAGAGTGGTAAAGAGTAAGGAGAGCTATAAATTCACCATGTGTAACTGTAGGGTAAAGATGTCAACACATTTATTGTTTGCTTTAGAGTACTAGTTGCCCATAGTTTGTTACCAGCACTCATCAGGGTACTTTTTCTGGAGAATACTGACCAAGGATCCAACTGAGAAAAGGCCAATTGGTTTGCCGCGATGTGTGATAGAGTGAACAAGAACGAGGTCTGTCAGAACGGATCAAGAACATGCAAGATCCATGTCCAGCCATTGTAATAGGTTGTTTCGGATCTGAGCTGAGGAAGTTGCACCGAAATTGTTATCCTGGATTACGCTCTTTTTTGAACTTAGTATTAACTTGCACCATTGTAAAAGTCTGAGATGCTCAATTGGAAAGGCAAATAAAACAGATTGAAGAAGAGAATCAGGCATGCAATTAAGATACACTTGGACAACTATGTCCAGGCAAAGATCCTGTTTTCATGGGGTTGTCTAGGTTCCTTTTTTACCCTAAATGTAGTGACCCTACTTTACATTGTACCGTGTCAGAAAAGAAGCCATTGTAGAAAAGACACCACATATGAAAGAAAACCAGAAAGTCACTAGAACTAGTTGCATAGGGGACATGAATAAAGCAGCAAGCTTTGCTTCATAAATATAAAGAACTGCCAAGAAACTCTGCACTGTTTGTTCTACTGCCATATACTAAAAACCAACCTTCTTGTTCCATTTAGCCCTTGAGATGAAGCCCTCCACAATGTCCACCTCCAGTGGAGCCCTATGTAAATCCATTGCCATCTCAGGCCTTGCACTTTTCATGCTCTACACGGTTTGGTCCAATCATGCCAATACTAACTACACTGCTGCAGATCTTCCTCTCACCAATCTTCAACTCAAATGGCCAACTTCCCCTTTCGCAACAAGTTCATCACCCAACAATATCAGCACTAACGTCGTTCCTCCAACCGATATCAGCCACATTGGGTTCATAGTAGTGAGCTCCTTGGCGACATGGAAGCACAGGAAGCCTACACAGAGTCCTGGTGGAGGCCGAATTCGACAAGAGGCTATGTCTTCCTAGACAAGGAACCCACTACAGATGAGTTCCTTCCTTGGCCTGCAACTTCCCCACCATGGACAGTCAATGACGGCATCACCAAGTTGAGGGTCTACCCTCAGCTCGTGAACCCGGCGGAGGTGAGAATCATGCGCTTGATCCTCGACATGTATAGGGTTGGGGACAGCGGGCTGAGGTGGTTCGTGATGGCTGACGATGACACTCTCATTTTCGTTGATAACTTGGTCGAACTGTGACACGCCAAAACACAACACCAAACTGCGACCAAGTGTAATCGCAGTCCGGGAATGCAGTAACGGGCAAGTTATATTATCAACCCGGGGTCTAGATCTATTGCTTACTCCGTGATTCTTTATTATCTAGCAAACTAATTCGAGTGATTGTTGTTTAAAAGCAAAAGCAGTAAGAAAGCAGTAAACTGTTCGGTTTTCTAAAGCAGGCAAGAGTCACTCGGGAATGAGTCCCCCTAGCCCCTTAGTTAGGTTTAATTGTAATTCCCTGGGTTGATTTATTGTTGATTAGACTGCGGAAGATCCGACAGTAGCTTGGAATCTCTTAAGGTGACCAAGCCCTCTCAGTCTAACTACCCGGCAGACGACTAGTCTTCACCGGGATAGAAAGCTGAAGCAATAAGCACAGAACTCCACTACTGGAATTGAATTCCAGTACAAAGCAGTAAACTGGCTAACTCTCGTATAGCCAATCACCTACTATCGAATGAAGAAGCTCTAACAACCTAATCAGATTCTATCTATCTCAGGTTGCAGCAGAAATTGAGAAAAGCTGATCAGACTCCAATCAATTCAATAAACATGCATCATTCGATTAAAATCAAACAGTAATATCATCCCAAGTCATTACAATCATATCCCTAACACAAGGAACTAGGGTTCTTCATACCCAAGTGAGAGAAGGGTTCTACTCCATAGAGAGAGAAGAGAAAACAGTAACCGGATTAGTCATACTCATAACGATGAGGAAAATCTGCTCCGGGATGATGATTTACACTCCTATGATGATCTCTAAGCTCGATTCGACGAAACCCAGCTCTAAGATAGCTTCTAGGATGTGTTCTTTGTACTTTCTCTCTCTAGGGCTCTGTTTTGCTCTGAAAACACGATTTTTCCACTTTTTGCTCGGAATAGGCTCTAAAACCAGGATTTCCCGACTCGCACGGCCAGGCCACACGGCCGTGTGACTCACCCACTTGGCCGTGCGGCTCAAAACGCGGCGCATCAATTAATCAACCTTCAGCCATCTCACACGGCCAGGGTTGCACGGCCGTGTGAGAATTCCGGCCTGCCCGTGCTCGGCCTCGGCAGAAATCATACGGCCAGGATGCTCAATGGCACGGCCGTGTGAAGTTCATGGGTTGCCCGTGCGTGCTCTCGCATAATCCCGCACGGCCTGGCTTGGCCTTCGCACGGCCGTGTGATTCCCTGGCCTGGCCGTGCAGCTTCCTTGAAACCTCGCCATTCGTCCGATCTTCGTCCAATCGACCCCAGACTCGCTCCCGAGCCTTCATTCACGTATTAGGACCTGAAATATCACAAACAAGCACAACCTAGCGTGAAATCGGCCTAAAACACGAGAATCAACACCTCAAACGGTGTAAGAACGAGGGTAAAAACATGTGTAAATAACGGTCTATCAAACTCCCCCACACTTAACCGTTTGCTTGTCCCCAAGCAAACCAAGTCAGACACCAGGTAAGCTTACATATTTCAATCAACCAACATTGGGGACAAGTCATAAAGGCACGGAACACTTGAATCGTACTGGTTTTCAAACATCAACACATGAACAACCTCAATAGCAACCTGGACAACCACCACAAAGGACATTCGAGTGCAGCAAAATCGAGTAAAGGAAGAGTCTCCCTTCTGTTCACCAGCCAACTTAGACTTGACTCAACCACTCACTCAAAACAGTCAACTCATGCATCCAGCTCAAAACATCATAACAGAGACCAAGCAATCTAGGTCCTCACCGGGGTACAAGAGCATATAGAATATGAAAATGAATCACTCACTCTCGATAGTGGGGTCAGGACAATTTGATGCGAAAAATGCGCATGCTAATTCTCTCAATCCCTATCATCTCTTCACCATGATGGTAGCCTCTAAATGCTAGAGTTCACATATGGAGTGTCGCCACTAACTAATCAGGAGGTCTTAGACACATGTTCAAATGACTGGCTAGGGTCTTGGACATGGGGAAAAGGCCTTTTAAGTGGTGGAAGTATTCATAGCACAAGGTTCCACATTTCCAAACACACAATCACAGTCAAACAAACCGGTATTTTCTTTCTGCTATTCTGCATTACTCAATATCTCAAGAGCACAAGAGCGAAGGAGGCATAAACATCAGCATTTCCAAGCCAGCTGCTAAGAAACACTACTAAATGGGCATTATTCAGATTTTTGGTAGTGGCTCTCTTTTGCTTTCAATTTTTCTTTGTTTTACTTTCATTTTTCTTTTCATTTCTTAAGAGAGTCACCACTTCTGCACAAATTTCAAACACTGCCCAACTTTTAAGCACTACCTCCAACACTCACACAGACTTTAGCAGAAACAGCAGAGAATATGTAAAAATCACTCTGTGGAACCTTCTAAAAGATGCAACAAGGGTGATTTTTTCCGTTAGAGACCAAAAGAAAGGATAACACACGGCTCAAAGGGGCTGACTAGGGGATATGACACATCGGACAGTCAGTTTTGGGCGTGGGCTAATCCTATGCCCCCATCATCTTAGCTAGTGACAACGTGAATGCTACACATCATGGAAGAGGGATCTATCGCACAAGAAAGAAACGAGCAGGCTCAAATCTCACATGGCTACCTATATGCTCTATCTCACATTCTGATACCCTGAACTAGATGCATAAACGACTGTCAATAACAAGTAATCAAACCAAGTCACAGTTGGCAAGCAAACAGTTGAAAAACTGAACCCCTACATCGTTCTACTGCACAGCTCAGTCCTCATTATAGGTTGTCCTAGTCGCAAACAAGTTGTCATGCATTAATCCGAAAACCAATCAATTCATCCATCAAAACACAGTGCCAATATGATCAAACAGCAGTACTTGGAGCCCTCAAATCGTAAGATTCGGACAGCGGACTAGGCTCCAAGCACACAGATATACATTCCAACCGATACAAAGCACCCCCCCACACTTAAGCACGACATTGCCCTCAATGGAGTAGAGGGAAAGATAAGGGGAACGATGTTACCGGATTGGAACACTGCGGGGGGACTGGAAGTGGACCAGTCAGCGAGAAACAAACGGGAGAGTGGACAATGCTGCACAAATCGAACACCAGAAACACACTAGCACACTGTGCGTTAGGGATAAGTGTTAGCCCAGACGGCTACATAGAAACAAACCACAAAGGAAAACCAAAAACAAAAACAAATGACACTAAGTTCAAGCTCCGCACACATGGAGCAAACACAAACAGTCTAAAACGAAAAAGAAAAACACACTGAGACGGGCAACGAGTACAGCCTACTCGTCGCCAAGATCGTCGAGGTCGATGTCGTTCATGAACGCGTCATCATCAGCAGCGCCAGCAGCACCATCATCACCGTCAGCTGGGGCATGTGGAAGTGGGGAGTCATCCCAGTGAGTCCTCCAGACAGGTGGCTCGCCCGGGAGCAGCTGGAGCAGGTGCTGCTGAACCTCCTGCATGCGCCGTGAACGGCGCTTCTCCCGCTCGATGTGGGCGAGAGTCACTCCTGCTGAGTCTGGATCATGTCCAGCCGCTCGTCATAAGCAGCCATCCTGTTCCGGAGCTCGGCCTGGTCGGCCGCGTATTGCTGATGGAACTGCATCTGCTGGTCGAGGATCAGCTGGTTCTGGATCCGCAGCTGCTCGAACTGATAGGAGAAGTAATCCTGGCCCTGGAAAGCGGAGCTGCCACCGCCAAACTCGAAGGTGGTGGGGCGGGGGGCAGCGTCAGCAGCAGCATCCACCTCGTCGGGCTACACATCATCAGCAGCCTCCTCCTCCTGGCCCTCTGGCTGGTCCTCTGGTTCGGGCTCCGCGGGGATCGGAGGTTCCGGAAACCCGTCGACCCATAGAACACCGTTCCTCTCTCGCAGCAGCTGCATCTTACCGATCGTCTTCCTGCCAAAGATGAGGGGGTCCCCCTCCTGGGTGCACCCCTGCAGTGAAAGGCCAAAGTAGGTGGCCAGGCGGGTGATGAGGGGGCCGCAGTGGAGGCTCTTCAGTTCTGTAGAAGTCTTCTCGAAGGTCTTGGCCACCACCGAGCCCAGGTGGAGAGGATGGTTGTGCTGGCGGATCGAATGGATGAAGTACAGGGCCCTCTTCGTGATGGCGCTGGCACTGTCTGCTGCAGGGGTGTAAGACTTCGCCAGCAGGTGGTGGAGAAGGCGGTTGTCGAGCAGCAGGGTAGATGCCTTCGTCCTCCCGGCCCGGAAGGGACGCGTCTGGCCTGGCTGAGCCAGGAGGGTGTACAGCCTCCCATAGTCCACCTCTGGCGGATCAGTGACCTCGGTGATGTAGTGCCGACGCTCGTCGAGGTCGAGGTCAAGAGCCTCGGCCAGCTCGTGGTAGCTCATGGACCGGGGAACACCGCCCAGCCTGAATTGGACGGCTGTACCGTCCTGCCAATCGGTCGTGGAATTGTGCTTGAAGGTCGTGTAGAACTCCCACACGGGCTCGTAGTAGACCTTCTCGCAGAGGACGAGCAGACGACGCCATGCGCTGTTGGTGACGGCGGGGGAGAGTTGCTCGTAGCAGTGCAATGGCCGAAACTCCCGTTTGGACCAGCAATGGTGTGACCCAAACGGGGTTTCCAGGACCTCCTTGAAGCGGTCGGCGGTGGGGCCCCTCCTTACATCCCGGATGAACGGGTGCTTGAGATCAGGTTTCGCCATTGCCCTGCAAAAGAACAACCCAAAGTGGAACCAAAAGAGCCAAAGAAAAGGTCAAGCACACCCCCACACTTAAGAACAGAAAACAGCCTAACCATGG